CTATCAGATCTGATATAATGCTTGGGACGATACTCAACATTTTGACACTTTCAGACTTCTCGGAGCGTCGGTGCTTCACATCAGCAATACGTTGTTTTACGCAAATTTTTATGTGACTTTCTTCCACTGATGTGTTTTGTACAACCCGCTTAAATAGAAGTTAAAATGTAATGTGATTTATTACAATTTGTTTTATCATATGTGTAGTATTCATCATTATCAGAACTACATTTATGAAATTTTGAAGTCTACTCGAACGTAGAAAAAAAATCAGAATCTATTTTATGGTGCCAATCAATATTAAATGGAAACAAAGATATGAATCAAATATCGCATATAAGACCATCAATTCATCATTATTTTGATAAAAATAAATTATGAATGAATGTAAAGAGTAAATAATAATAGTAAATTTGGATTCCATGACTATTTATCTTTGTTATGGATAGATACATCGGAAGACAGGTCCAATATAAAAAAAAATTGTAGTTATTTCTAGAAATAATATGATATTAATGCAATTCTGAAAAACTTATTTCTGCACGTGTCCCTCAATCATCTAGGTCCAATAGTCTTTGGGAATTCAAAAAATTCTTTGAAAAACTGACATAAATACACAGACACCGACTTGACTTTAAAAGTGATCGAACTTTACTAAATTTGGCGTGGAATACATTTAATGATGTTTCTAAAAAAGAAGACCACGCGAGCGAAGCCGCGGGTAAAAAGCTAGTATGTAATAATAATAAGAAAAAAGCCAACGTATTTAAATAGTGGAAAAAGCTATTTTCTACGTAACAAAAAATGTGAGAATGTGGACATTTCGATTGAAGGAAGAAGAGGAATGAGGAGATTTCGAAAACCTTTACCAGGAGAAATGACCCGATATGCTGGACTAACATTACCAGAGGAGCCGCAGAGAGCTATTTTAGAATGTCTTGACAGATTTTACGAGGAACTAGACCATCGCTACAGAGCAATGGATGATATTATCGTAACATTTAGTGTTGTTCAGCCTTACACTCTGCTAACGTCACCAGATGAAGATCTTCGTGTAATAGTTCAAAATCTGACAAAAATCTACGATGATTTTTCTGTAGGACATATAATTTTGGAGACTTTACGACTTGAAAGCTGCCAGCATTTCTTGCCAAGGAGCTGTTCAATGTAATTCATTGGAGCTTTCTCGTAAAATTGGGCTATTCTGAATCTGTTCCGAATCTAGCGCTGTGTCTAAGATTTTTTTTACTATTAAGTTTCATGTGAAGGAAGCTTTTCAAAACTCAAGTTAATAAAATCTTACTTAAGGTCCACAATGAACCAAGCGCGACTAACCAATCTTTCTATTTTATCTATCGAAAATGACAAGAAAGTAATATATTAGTAGTTGCTAATATATTAGAATATTTTAGCAAAATAAAGTGCCGTTAGCATGTATAGCATTTTTTGTTTTATTTTGGGGGGTGTTTGATAGAAAACCGCCCTGGGTGTCAACCCACGCTACGCCGCCACTAGTTACCGTAAGCAATAATGTAATCAAAATATTAAACGGAGTTTAATTATAACATTATTCAGCACTTTCCATATTGAAAAAAAATACGCATTTCGTTTTCCGTAATGCTGTATATACTATTAATATCCTCAAAATATTGTATCATGGACACTCTATTAGAAAGAAATGGGGAACGCTTAATGAATGTTCGGGGTTCGATTCCCCGGTCGAGCGTTGATTTCATGAAAGTTTATTTTTAGGTTAATTTAGAGAGATATTTATTACAATATTTTAAAAGTACAGAATAAATAATATTAGTACGTACTAAAAGTAAGTAGGATGTGTATATTTATATTTAAATACGTCTTTGACTTAATGGACTTACCTGAATGATGACATAATGATCATATGAGCATTATGAGTCGTGCACTTTTGGATCTTCCAAACTTTTTTTTAAATTGAAGTTTGACATAAAATTGGATGTATAATAATGTTACGAGCTTGGGGTTCGAGACAATTAAAACCTGCCGATTGAATTACCAAAATTGACACTTTAATTACACAACACTAATTACAATCTAAAACCACACTAATAATAAAACACAATCACTTTAGTTCGCAGTTATTTCGCTTCGAAGTATTCTCTTGTATCGCCAATTCAATACTGCCTTGGTCGTGGTCTATACCGGCCTTATATAGGGCCTCAGATAGTTTCCAGAACCTTCTACTGTAACCGGTCTACCGGTATACCGGTCCCGAAATTTCTGGAAGGATCTTGACTCTCCTAGTTCTGCTACTCGACACTAGAGGGCGCTAGTGTAACTAGTGTTGCTATGTACAAGACATTAATAGTGGCGCGCAACAATAATAAGGTTATTAGTGAAAACTTGTGTGCATTTAAACTAATTTAAAAATTAATGTATAATCATGTTATACATAATTTTTTCGCGCTTAAGGCACGCTCAATTAGGGTTACCAGATGAAAAAATTAAAAGTCCAGAGAAGAGGCCTGATTTCCATTTAAAAATCCTGAGATTTTTACAATTTGAGAAGAAAACCTTACTTAAAAAGGTATCTTCACATATTAAGTATGATAAAACTGTTTAAGTACCTACTTGGATAAATAAGTTTTGATTTTAATTGTGGAATTATTACCAAAGGAAAATGAGATATCATGAGATTTGCAAAATCCATCCGCAATCCTGAGAAGAGTATAAAATTCCTGCAATCTCAGGACAAATCCTGAGATATGGTAACCCTATGCTCAATTGGATTTACCAATTTTTGTACTATATTTACGGCAGAGGCATATGCAGTCTTTCAAGCTCTGAGGCGAATTTATTCTATAAATAATTATAAATGTTTCCTTATATTAACCGATTCTCTCAGTTTAATTTCAAATACAGAAAATTGCTCAATTAATTTTAAAATTAACTACATTGTGTATAATATTAGAGAACTAATACTTAACTTGTCAAAAAAGAGTGTTAAAGTCGCTCTTTATGTGGATTTTTTAACTGGAAATGAAATCGCAGATAAGACTGCATTTGAAGACATAAATCCACTTAATGTAAGCCATATTTTACGTTTACCTTCTCCTGACTGTTATACTAAAATAAGAAAGAATATCAGATTATTATGGAAAGATATGTGGAAGAAAGAATAAGAAAACAAAGGCAAGTGGTATGGAAGTATCCAGGACAAAATACCTCTAAAATTATGGTACGCTAAGTTGAAAGAAGCAAGTTTTGACTATAAATCTACTGCGGTTCGTCCATCATAAAATTTCTGCACACCTTGCTCGACTTAACAAATTGTCCATTGTGATCAACTTGAAACTATTGATCACCAGTTGTTTGAATGCGGCCTGTTTAACTTTCAACGGATTTTATTAGCTAGAGAAGTGTGTGACAGTGACAGTAAAAGTGAACCCATCGCAAATATGATTATGGAGCGTATATTGAACGCCCGATTAATAGCATACCTAGAACAAAATGACCTTAGTGACCGGCAATACGGCTTTCGCCGAAATCGGTCAAATGCGGACCTTCTAGCGTATGCCACACACGTATGAGGCGAGTCACTCGAGAACAGTGCGGAAGCACTTGCTGTTTCCCTTCATGTCTCGAAGGCCTTTCACAGAGTTTCGCACGCTAGCCTTTTGAGTAAGCTTCCAGCGTACGGCTTACCGCCTGGTCTCATTGAAAAGGTAAAGGACGTGAGTGAACGGTCTCTCCAGTTCGTCGTCGATAGCTGCTCATCCGATCCTGTGGCGACTAATACTGGTGTTCCTCAGGGGTCCTTTCGCTCCACAACTCTCTTCCTGTTGCATATTAATGATCTGCTTATGCCCGGTATCTGCATACCCAGTAGACGATGGGCCAGTCGGTATCAAATACAGTCCGAGAAATAAGCTATGGTAGAGCGTGTGAATCTCACGCTACAGGCAGTCTCCGAATGGGGCGATGCCAATCTTGTGAAATTCAATGCCTCCAAAACATAAGCGTGTCTCTTCACTTCTAAAAGGAGCCAGCTCACCTTGGCTCTTTCTTTCCGAAATGTATCACTGGAATACATCGACCGCCTTCAGTTGGGGGTTGATATATCCTCAAATCTGAACTTCGGGCAGTTCATTGAGTTCAAGGCCAAAGCAGCTGCAAGGAAGCTAGGAGTCCTTACAAAGGTGCGGCGATACTTCACGCAGGGACAGCTGCGTACTTTATATAAAGCGCAAGTCCGGTCGTTCATGGAGTATTGCTGCCATATATGGCTGGTACTGCAAAATGCCACCTAGCAGTTTTGGACTCAATGGAAAGGCATGCTAAAAGGCTTATTGGTGACCCAAACTTCATTAAAACCAATTTTAGCAGCCTCGAACACAGACGCAAAGTAGTCAGCCTTTCGGTTTTCTACAGGATGCATTTCGGAGAGTGTGCGCAGGAATTGCTTAATTTAATTTCTCCCTCTCCCTTCCACCATCGGAAAACCAAACGTTCGGCTAGTCTCCATCCTTTCGTTGTTGACTTACCACGCATTCAAACCAAACGGTTTGCTATATCGTTCGAGATGCGTACAGTAAAGGAGTGGAATAAATTGCCAGCATCTGTGTTTCCATCCGATTGTTATGTGGGTGTCTTCAAGGCAAGAGTTAACAGGCTTTTATTAAGTCAGTGCGCTTCACCATCTTAGGCTACATCACCACTTACCGTGAGGTGGGATTGTAGTTAAGCGCTGGCTTAGTATAATATAAAAATGACCCCTGCCGCTTGACTATGTTTTTGAAGAATATGAAATATTTTTTACATGAAATCCACTACGGAAAATTTATAAAAACGAAGATCCTGAATGTAATGAAGACAGGGCTTAAAAAACAAGCATCTAAGCTAAAAATCTTTAAAAAATTATATTTTATTGTCTGTAATAGAAAATGCCAATGTCATACTGAAATTAACATTTGTGCGTAAATTTTTGATTAGATCTTTGTTGTTATCAAATATATGCTTAGAAAATGGTTGACCCAATATTCGATTACCAATTTAGGCTCATCCTAATTGGCGATAGTACAGTAGGAAAAAGTTCGCTTCTAAAATATTTCACGGATGGAAAATTCGCTGAGGTGAGTATGATCATACGAGACCATAGGATGTTTTTCTGTTGGTGATTACGTTTTATTTTAAATATGAAGTAAATTGTGCATTAAAATTTTAGCTCTCTGATCCCACCGTGGGTGTTGATTTCTTTGCTAGAATTATTGAAGTACAAGATGGTACAAGAATCAAATTACAACTTTGGGACACAGCAGGCCAAGAAAGATTCAGGTCTATAACCAAATCTTACTATCGAAATTCTGTTGGTGCTTTATTGGTATATGATGTGTGCAACAGATCGAGTTTTGAGCATATTCCTTTATGGATGATGGAAGCTAAAAGGCATATAGAGCCACATAGACCAGTTTTTGCTTTGGTTGGATGCAAAGTTGATTTAGTTGGTACAGATAACAAAATTGGTGCCAGAAGAGAAGTGTCGTGTGAGGAGGCTAGGTTATTCGCAGAAGAAAATGGTATGAAATTGTTTTTATCAATTACTTCATTGCCTGAATATTCTAAATAAATATGTCAATTCATAATATAATATAATTCAAGGTTAACTAATGTTGCATAAATTTATTTGAGGTTTGCAAGTTTGAACTGTGAACAAATTTTTATGTAATATTTTACAACTTAATTGTTTATTTAAATGATGTAGTGAATTGTAGCCTTTAGATTTTATTATAATTTTAATGTATTGCTGACGATCTATGGAACAAGTAATTGCTTAACTGTGTTTTAGTACTAGCCATGTTTATGACTGACATGACTCGATATGCACACACCACACCATTATAAAAGTTTAAATTAACATTTCTGTTTCACTCTGAACATGTAGGGGCTGTATAGATAAAAACAGAGGCTGAAGAAATGTTCTTTGTTTTGGTGTATAGTGTAATACATGTGATTTGTGATCTATAGCATATATTATGTATAATATTTGCCCAGAAATTATAGTAGTATGAGATGATAACTCATTGATTTTATCAAAAAATATTATATAATTTATATTAAGTAAAAGCTCCGCATCTTTTTGTAAATATTGGCAAATATTTGTCCGAATACAGAATGTGAGATTTCAGGTAATATGTGTGATAGATGATCAAGTTCAAAGGTAAATACTTGTGCTAGAGCTGGTTCACAACAATATTAAAATGATAGACACTTGCAACTTGTTATTTTGCATCCCTCACTTTTAACCATTAGGCCTGGGGTCCTCAAAGTGTGTGCTGCAGTGTCTTAGTGTGTTGTAGAAAGTAAACTAAATTTTTATATTACAACATAAACCAGATTTTCAGCTTTAGCTGTAATAAAGAACAAATATCATTAAAAAATCAATGTAGAAAAAGAAATGAGCCAGTGTCAAGTCAATATCCTATGTTTTGAAAAAATGTTTTGAGATCACACCAAGCTCACACGTCACTAATTGTGCCTATTTACCTAGTATCATTGTACCCTATTTCAACAAGCTAGGTAACTGAGTTTAATATACTTAACCTGTAAGTGCACTGCAAACTGAAAAATTGTGTGGACCCTCCATTAAGCTACTAGCACTTGTCATCATACATTTTAATTTTAAATTGTATCTTGTTTTTTTGGTAAAAAGTGTTGCAAAACAAATTCAAAATTCATGTCAGATTTCAATTGCCTTTTTATATACTTAATTATTTTTAGTAAAGAAAGTCAATTTTAATTTGATAAATGATTTTTTTAATTGAATTCATAATATTTTCACAGGCCTACACCATGTAGAAACCTCTGCCAAAACAGGCTTAAACGTAGAAGAGGCTTTTGTTCTAGTTGCCCAGGAAGTTTACAACCGTATCCAAACAGGTGAATATAAAGTAGAAGATGGTTGGGATGGAATTAAGACAGGCTTTAACAGACCAAACGGCATGGACTTTAACCTCCTTGAGGCTGAAACTGTTCAATCCACCTGCTGTTAGGAAAATTATAATATTGTTTTGTTGTACATATTGACATGTGTAATTAGGATAGGTATGGTGTAATATTACATAAGTGTAAGTTAATTATTCATAATTAAAATATGTTTTGGTATAAAATAGTTTGCAAAAGAAAAATATATTGTCTTATCATTCAACATTTTTTGTATGTGTTTGATGTTTATTTATTGAGCAATCCACAGTTGAATACATGAAATGAATTGCTTTATTTTTATAGTAGTTTTGTCTATTCTTTAGTATTGCTGTTACAAAAGCATTCACCTGTGGTTATTATTAAATATTACATAAAGCATCTTGAGAACATTGTTTAATAATTTTATATATTTATGCATTTCAATAATTGCAGAAGCAATATGATTTATTTTTTATTATTTACAGATAATGTAATAGAAAAAAATACTTTGCATCACGTTGTTTACACAATTTTACTACACATAATCTTACACATTAAAACATTTATGTTATGTTAATGTTAACACAGCACAACGGATTATTAATGAAACATTTTTCTCATTAAATTTTATATTAATTTGTTTAAAATTGTAGCATTCTATGATGAAAAAAGCTATTCAAATAGAAGACCTTGGTCAAAAGTACCAGTTTATTATAACAATTTTATAATCTCCATAGGTAATCCCAACTAAAGAAATGTTTATTTGCATAAAAATATACTCTACAAGTAATTAGTTTTTAAAAATTGTTATTACTAACGTAGTATATAGCCAACGTTTAAGTACCTGGAAATCCATAATTCTAATTTAATAAAAACTAATGATTTTTTAACATTTTATTCCCTGTTGAAATTTATTTTAAATTTAATTCAAATTATGTAATTATTTTTTTTAACATTTTGTTCATGTTAACTAAGTATAGCGAACAATAGCGCCAAACGCTTGATGCAATCATTTAATTTTATCATTACATTTACTCTATACGAAAAGGACAGTATATTACTTTATAATTGTTTCTAAAATAAAAAATAAAATTGTATTTTTTAAACAACTAAAGGAAACAAAAATATCCGTCCACTAAAATCATTCGGGCGTGTGACTCAATGCACTTTAATAAAGGTTTATCAGTTTTAAGGTATAATTATTATTTGTTGTCACTGACCACACTAGACAAGATTTTATTTCCCTACAGCTGCTGAGTAAAACAGTTGTTGCATATACAAAAATAGACATAAATAACGAGAAGCAAACAATCAAGGTGTGCCCTATTGCCTTTTTTGTACTTGTGGAATAACAAGCAGGATGCCTTTGCCTGTTTGTGTCAGTAAAAAACCCCAAAGGCATATTACGAATCTGCTGATGATGACCTAACAAAGGAAGATTCGTGCTCAAAATTGTAAAACATTTTATATTGATATAATTTATGTCACAGTTTTATTTATAATTTGTACTTTGTCATAACTAGGTACGACGATGTTATTATAATGCTTAAACGCAGTAAAGTTTTTGTTAATCATTATCATGTTTCAATTCTGTCCTCATTATTTACCATTAACCTTTAGAGTCAAGTCGGTGACCCAATTTCGATTTGTTGAGTCTGCTCTATTTACAATTAAGACAAAGGTGAGATTATTATTTTACTGAATCTTTGGAAGCAGATACGCGAGCAACTAGTTCAAATTGCTTTTTTTATTAAACTAATATCCTTGACCAACATTTATATCCAAATTACTTTAAATGGAAGGAATTTTTTTCTTTATTAGTTTTACTATGTATATTTATTATTTAGAAGCATTAAAAATAAAGTTATTCAGTCCATGTATGTCTGCAATTCTACAGAAGTTATTTTTACTAATTTAGAAAGTCAAAAGTGATAGGACTGTTTTTTTGCCTAGAAATCCTTCTAGGTAGGTGCCATCCTCTTAACTATTTTTGTCGCCAAAAAAACAGTGCTTGCACCATAGAGTTATATGTACTACGTACTAGAGAAGCCAAAGCCATTCCGAACATTGACTAATTTCAACTTAGTGCAATCCATACAAACTAAATATTGCGTAAATTGAAGAATTTGTGAATTCCATAAAATAATTGTTATTAAGGGGGATGAGTCGCTCGCGTCCGTAGGCTTCGACCACCTAATCCTAGGCCCACCCTACACGTGTCCCCCGGGTGGTGCTAAACGAGCGACAAAGCCGAAACGATAGACTCGGCTCCTCGCCGTATGGTAGCGGCATAAAATCTACCACCCCTTAGTTCGCACCATGAGCCAAGAAGGAAAAGAAATGGCCCTGAGTTCCCGACGCCCCTTTAATGGGGCAAGGGTGCGACGAATCTCCGGGAGAAAAACCGGCGACGAGGTTCGCCACCCGTCACGTCCTGTCTCCCGGGGGGGCGAAAAGTGGATTGCGGAGGCCCGTCTGGCCACGCTGAATGTATGTGGAGCAATGAATGATAAGATGGATGAAGTATGCGAAATGATGAATGATAGAGGAATAGATGTGTTATGTGTAAACGAGACGAAACGAAAGGGAAGAGATGTCACTGCACATGGCATGTATACCGCTTACTGGTCTGGAGTAGACGAGACCGAGCGGGCATGCCAAGGAGTCGGTGTCATCCTTCCAGAAAGAATGGGTCAATGTGTGAAAGAGTATGAATGTGTTAGCCCAAGGCTGCTGTGGTTGCGAATGAAAGTGGGCTTAAAGAAGTTGTTTGTGCTAGGGGTGTACGCCCCAGATATGTCTAAGCCCACTTATATCCGAGAGCAGTTTTGGGACATGGTAAGGCTGGTATTGATGAAATGTAAGGAAAATGAAAATATTATTATGTTAGGAGATTTTAATGGAAGGGTTGGGGTGAAGAGGTCTGGTTATGAAAGGATATTAGGAACGTTTGGCGATGAAAGAATAAATGAGAATGGTGAAGACCTCCTCACCGTATGTGTGGAAAAGAATCTTTTTGTGGCGAACACTTTCTTTCGCCATAAGAGGATTCACATGTATACATGGGAAAGAGGGGATGATAGAAGCATGATAGATTTTATAATTGTGGATGAAAGAATGAGGAGCGCAGTGGTAGATACAAGGGTTTACCGGGGGTCCAACGTAGGGACGGATCATTACTTGGTCTTATGCCGAATTAATGGTCTATTCAGACGTTGGCGGCATCGGACATCGGTGTATACCACTGCGTTACAGCGTATAAGAATAGAGAGGTTAAAAGATGAAGTTGTGAAAGAGAAGTATAAATGCAGATTGAGGGAAAATATAAGTGGGTTGAATGAATTATGTATAATGATTTAGAATTGAAGAATGTATGGAATAATATTAAGAAAGTTTTGGTGGATGCAGCCACCGAAGTATGCGGTGTAAGTAAGAGAACGAATGAAAGGAAAAGTAATACGTTGTGGTGGGATGATGAGGTACGGATGGAAGTTGAAGCAAAGATGAGAGCATGGCTAGATTTACTAGCAACTAAAGCTGGTAATTCTGGCGGTATGAATGATGAGATTGAAAGAAAAAAGGCAGACTTTAGACGTATAAATAAGAGAGTAAAAGAAGTTGTTGAAAGGAAAAGGCAAGAAAGGATAGATAAGAATGATAGAAGGATATCTGATAACTTCCAGGCAAATATTAAAATGTTCTGGAAGCTCGTAAGAACTGCCAGGGGAAATTCAAAACAGCCTGGAATAAATGCTATACGAGACGAGAATGGCTGCATGCTGAATGATGAAGTTTCGAATTTAAAGAGATGGAAGGAATACTTTGAAAGCGTGTTTAAGAGTGAAGAGTCGTCTGGAATAAGTGAAATAGAAATTCCGGAAGAAGTGGAGAGAGGTAGGGAGATAAGTGTAGATGAAATAATGAAAGCAATGAAAAGCATGAAAGCAGGTAAGGCAGTCGGATATGATAGAGTATCACTCGAAATGCTGAGGGCTGGTGAGGGTGTGGTTACAGGCCTGCTGCACACCTTGTTTAATTTGTGTTGGGAACTGAAACGGGTACCGGAAGACTGGTGCAAAGCCGTTATAGTCCCAATATATAAGGGAAAGGGGTCGCAGCAGGACTGTAAAAACTACCGTGGTATCAGCTTGCTTAGCATTGTGGGTAAACTGTATGCTAAGGTGTTAATTGAAAGAGTTATGGAAGAAACTGATGGAAAAATTTGGGATGTGCAAGCTGGATTTAGAAAGGGGATGGGGTGTACGGATCAAGTCTTTTCCATGCGCATGATAGCGGAGAAGTTTTTGGCTAAAAACCAGAAAGTTTTTTGTGCGTTCATGGACTTGGAAAAGGCTTATGACAGAGTGGACAGGAATGTGTTATGGCAAACACTGAACTCATTTGGGTTGAGCGCTGGCTTGATACAGGCATTAAGATCTCTTTATAGGGACTCTAGTGCTTGTGTTAGGATCAACGGGGTCTACTCGGACTGGTTTGGCATTCATAAAGGTGTCAGACAGGGATGTGTGGCTTCCCCGTGGCTGTTTAACTTATTTATGGACAGTTGTTTGCAAACTTTGAAAGTTGAAGAATGTGGGTTGAGAATGGGTGAGTCAACCATCAAATGCCTTTTGTACGCCGATGATCAAGTCATATTTGCATCGTCGGCGGCCGAGTTGCAAATGATGGTTACTTTAATGAATTGGTCATTGAAAGAAAGGGGTATGAAAGTGAACGCAAGTAAGACGAAAGTGATGGTTTTTGAAAGAGAAGAAAGTAAAACTTTATGTGAAATAAGAATAGAAGGGGAGTTGATTGAGCAAGTGGATGAGTTTGTATATTTGGGATGTTTATTTAGCAGGGATGGTAGATATGATAAGGATATAGAACGAGTGAACGCAGGAAATAGAGTGAATGGGGCTCTACACGCTATTATGAGGAGTCAGAATGTGTCAACTAAGGCACGTATGGCAATTCATAATGCTGTGTTAGTCCCTACTTTAATGTATGGTAGTGAAAGTTGGGTCTGGCAGAAGAAGCATGAGAGTAGAATAAATGCTGTAGAAATGCGTTCCTTAAGGAGTATGCTAGGGCTGAATCTGAATGACAGGGTGAGAAATAGTGTGATAAGAAAAAAGTGTGGTTTGCAAGATGACGTTGTGACAAGGATTAAGAAAGGAATGCTTCGGTGGTTTGGTCATGTAGAAAGAATGAACGAGGAAAGAATGACAAAGCAAATTTATGTTGCGGAAGTGAACGGCAGGGTCGGGAAGGGACGCCCTAGACGAAGGTTTATCGACCAAATCGGCGATACATTAAAAACGGGCCAGATTAGGAGTACCCTTAACCGACGAGCGTGTATGCGTAGATATATGGATGTAAAAGAGGCGAGAGAGGTGTGTCAGGATCGCGCCAAATGGAAGTCCGTAGTCTCTGCCTACCCCTCTGGGTGACAGGCGTGAGTGTTTATGTATGTGTAATTGTTATTACATTTTATTTAGAAATATGTTTGTTTAGATTAAATTAAGATATTTTATATTAAATTCTTATATTTATTTTATATTAATATCTTATTTTATATTAAATTAAAGTCTTCGCAAACGTTAGTTTCCCTATCTGGTATGTGACAACGCATCTATCGATCGATCATCGAGTCGATCCATTCGGATTAGCGCATGCCATATCAAGACCCCTCAGAATAATATTTTAATCATTGTATAACATCAGGCCCTTCTTACTAGAAATGAGGCATTCCATCTTAGTCCTCACGGGTGACAACCATTAATATATTTTCTTCATAGAATTATTACGCATAGAATACTAGTACGCGCACGGAAAGTGAAGCAAGTTAAACTAACGCGAAACCGCGTAAGTTCACTCAGCGACGCGTCAGTGCGCAACGTCATGTCTTACGGAGAAGAGCTGGCGAAAAATTGTAAAAATAACCGTTTTTGTTGTAAAATATACTCACAACAGTGATGATAAACATAAAAGAAGTGATGGTACTGCATTTCACATACAAGTTTACATATTTAATTCATTATAAGTACGTAAAACTTCACTGTGTAGGCAGCGCGCGGTAGCGCGTGCGATAGACGTAACACTAAGTTACATCCAACGAATTTTTTTTTCTCAGACTATTATAGTAATAAAATTGCAGTGCAATATATTAACGTGTGTATATCTATTATTTGTGTGTTTGATGAGATATATTCTTCAAGAATATCATGATTGAATATGTATATCAGTTCATTAAGTTTAGAACATTATTTAAGCTTAGCTAATTTTGGCCTAGCTGTTGAGTCCATTCCATAGTACAGTGTTAAAGTTGTTGTGTGTTTGTCTTTTTTTTTTTTAGGTATTCACGACTGTCTCAACGTCGTTTTCTATTAATAGGATTATCGATTCTGTTTGTATCGATGTATGTGTGGTCTGTGTATGTTGGCTAGATGAGATTAATGGCTGTATTTGTGAGGGTAATATTGATTGGATAGGCAAAGCTGTCTTTTCAACTGTAGCTTGTCCTTCTTCTTCCTCTTGTAGTTTTTTTGTACTTGTTCTTTTAGATAAAAGCTTATTCCTTTCTCTTTCCTGGTAAGAAATTCTTTGTTGTGACACATTCACATCTAGACATTTTAGCAGGAAACATTCGTGCAGTTTTTCCTATATATGGTGAGATCAAATCTCTAGCTTTGTTACGTAGTAGTAGGTGCACATGATAAATATCTTTACTTCGTTGCTCCATTTCATCTGCACCCTAGTTTTACCGGCCTTGGTGGACGTGGGTAAAAAGACATTTGCCTCCCGCGCATCATCCAGGGTTGGCGTTGATGAATGCCTATTAACCGAGGAGGATGATGATGACTGTACTGAGGGATTGTATGATGCGGTACTCGGGCTAAAAGGTTCATATGGGCTATTGCTTCTACTGCCCGTGTTTCCGTCCAGTCGAGCGTTGTCGGCTGTAGTATTTTCGGGTTGTGAATCCCAGGTGGGAGCCCGCCTGCTCAACTGCTTACCGCTAACGGATCGTCTGCTGAAACACCCAGCGTCTGCTCCAAGCTGTGCCCCGGTGATTGCCCCCGGGAAGCGGCCCTCTCAGTTTACTTTTTTATCTGGTCTCCATTTTTAATGGGTTACCAAGGCCACGTTAGCCATGCCAGTAATTTCTCATAGTGTATCCGCCCCTCACGTGATTTGATGGTCGATCTGGACATGTAGTTGGATTTTAAATTTTATTATTATTAATAATAATATGGCTAGAGATTATGTGGCAGAAATATACCATTAAAATATGAATTCAATCAATTCAAATAGATGTGACTTTTTCTTTATATTTTTATTTACCACAATACTCCGAAATTCCGTTTTTTTCGACTATATTTTGTTGTAAGATGTCATATTAAGCTTCTATTAATGTTCATTGATAGAAATAAGTATTAAACGAACCAGATTAATCAAAATCCTAAGTAGTACTAAGCCATAGATTAGATGAATTTATTGACAGTGTTTATTGTTTCGCTAATGACCACAAACTAATAAAAAGTACTAGCGCACTATTCCATAGATACATCAATTCATGTATCTATGGAATAGAAAAATGGAAACAACCTTTTATAAAGAATCTGATTTTGTACCACATAAAATATTATATGCATATAGAGTTCAGCTACAAGAATTTTGCTCATAATTTAAGATTCCCTCTATGCAAGTAATTACTCTAAGAAAAGTCTATAGGCCAAAAGTATCGATACTTTTATCGGATACTTCTCATGATCGTATCGTATCGATATATCTGTTATATCTACGTATCGATTGTTTTGATTCGAAACCGTGCCCCTACTGACAAAGCGTTTGGTCGCAACTAGTATTATAGTCCTGTCTTTCCGTATATACACTCTTATCTATGGTCCTGTCTAGTACTTTTTGTTCTAATGGTACTGTCGACCGCTGATTTCATTTCTTATAAAATACATCTTTTTAACACCAAAATCTTACACTAGCAATACTGCATGCGTCAAATCTCAACTCTTGGCCTAAAGGTCTAGATGCCAGGCCATAAACTCCAAAAAAAAATCTCTTCTTCTTCTTTTAAATTACTGTCATTTGTTATGTCAAAATATCAGGATAATCGTCTTATTTTCTTGATTCTTCTAAATTAGCTTTTCTCACAATTTTGTCACAAAATACTTCATAATAACTTAACGCAATAGTTATGTCATCTGGTCGATCTAAGACGTCTATACTAGACAAACCATTAAGTAAAGGAAAAGGCGAAATTTCACTAGCTTTATACGCCCTCCTTTTTTCTGAAATTATTCAATATTGTCAAAACCGTTCACATTCCATAAATGAGCTCCAAAACAAGTAAGTTAAGTTTGAATAACGTATTATGTTGTAAGGTTGTAACACGAAAAGTAAAGTTGCAGTCCATAATGTAAATGGCACCAAAATGTAAATGGTTTAATAAATAAATCGGACTTATTGGCCTACCACTTACTTGAGCTATCACAAAATGGTAAAAATATAGATGTGATATGCATTACGGAGCATAACATGAAGGAAGGTGATAATAAACATTTGAACATTTTCAACTGGCTACATACGCTAACAGAAATAGTAGAAGAGGGGGGTTGTGTGTTTTAATAAGCAATAAATTGAAGTACAAAAAAGTCGAATTACATCAATATTCTTGCCCTAACATTGCGGAGTGTTGTGGTGTGGAATTAATAGAACACGGCATAATTATTGTATGTTTATATAGATCTCCGAAAGAAAGCATAGATACCGTAACTACCTTTTTCTATAATTTTGAAGGTATGTTACAAAAAATTTGTAGTTCTAGTAAGAAAAAATTTCTAATGTGTGGGGATTTTAACATAGATATTTTAAAAAGTACACAGCTTTCTTCTGAATTCGAAAATAAATTGTTAAATTTTGACCCGTCCGAGTATTCGCGAGCCTACTCATTTACAGAGTGGCAAGCGTATTGATAATATAATTCATAATATAAGAGGCAGTAAAGGTGAAGTTATAGAGCTTGGGATATCAGATCATACCGCTCAAGTCCTGTAAATGCCCTGTTAACAAATCTTACACTATCTCTCATTAGTTTGTGTTAAAACGGGATTACAGCGTAGAAAACTTAAATAAATTTAAAAATGCTATTAAAAGTCTCAGTTTTAATAATGTTTATGAATGCCTTGATACTAATGAAGCGTTTAATGAATTCAATGAATTATTTAAGCTACTTGATAATCTTTGCTTTCCGACATTTAAAATTAAAATTCCTATGAACAAAAAACTTACTTGGGCTACAAATGGTATTAAATTGTGCTGTAGACGAAAGCAAGAAATGCTATGGCATTCTAGACTACACCCTACTAAGGAAAATAAGAGAAAGTTTAAAATGTACTCTTAAACTATTAAAAAGAATAATTAAATTAATGCAAAAATCGCGAAATGGTTATTATATCAACAATGCGAAGAATAAAACAAAAGCCACATGGAAAATGATAAATAAGAATAAATACAATTTCCCTAGAAATAATATTACAAAACTTAATTTTAATAATAAATATATATATGATCTGGAAAAAATTGCTGAAGAATTTAATAATTATTTTATCAACGAAGTCCAGCCTATAAACCAGTTTAGTAAAGACCACTATAATTATTCATCCATAAATAGTAGAATGAACTCAATGTTTATGCCTGCATCTATTCCTCACGATATATATAAAATAAGTAATAAGTTAAAAATTACTAACAGTACCGGTAATGATGATATAATCACAAAAGTAGTTAAGTATGTGGCCGTTGAAATTTCCCCAGTTCTAAGTTACGTGGTTAATCTATGTATAGAAAATGGTACTTTTCGTCTAGCCAAAGTCCCAGAAATTTAATTTAATAAGTCCTTTGTATAAAAAGGAGGACAGACATGACCCTAAAAACTACAGGCCTGTCACTTTACTTCCAATATTCTCCAAAATAATAGAAAAAGTAATATATAACAACTATTCTTACTTAGAAAGTAATAACATCTTAGCAAAGGAACAATATAGTTTTAGGAAATGTACAAACATAAATATGGCTATGTATGATTTTATGGATAAAGTGATCACTGGTATAGATAATCATACACCGACAACCGCTTTATTCATGGATATGACTAAGGCGTTTGATTACGTTGATTTAAATATTCTAGTGCTTAAACTGGAAAAATATGGAGTCCGAGGTAATGTATTAAAACTTATTACGTCATACCTGAACGATAGAAAACAAATTACTTAAATAAAAAATATCTGTCCGCGTTCTAATATTGAACTAACATACCTTTCGCAAAAAAAGCAAACAACCTACGGTGTGCCGCAAGGAAGCGTACTCGGTCCTTTACTATTCCTAGTCTATATAAATGATTTACCGGAAGTGACTCAGTACCCTATGATCTTATTTGCTGATGACAGCACAGTCTTATTCACTGGACAAGACAAAGTCTCATTTGAAACGGACATAAATCAAAATTTATGCAGGATAATAAGCTGGCTAAATAACAATAATCTTAAAATTAATCTAGATAAAACGCATAATATGTCATTCAAACAAAGGTCACAACAACAAAAACTTAATATTCAATATAAAACTAAAATTATAAATGAAAAAGAACATACGAAATTTCTGGGACTTTGGCTAGACGAAAAAATGACATGGAGAAAACATATTGAACACATGATAAATCAATACCACTATGCACTACATAACCTTTTAAAAATAAGAAATCGTGAAACAGTCATAACCGCCTACCATGCATACGTCTCTTCAACATTGAGATATGGTATAATATTTTGGGGAAACTCCACAGGACGCGAATTAGTTTTTAAAGTGCAAAAGAAATGCTTACGAGCAGTGTGCCGGTTGCAGGCTACCGATAGTTGCAAATCGCATTTCATTGACCTTAACATACTAACCCTGCCATCTTTATATATATTCGAAGTAGCAATGTCTGTTAGGAAACATTTTAGCATATTTGAAACCACTAATAGTAAACGTCACAGAAACACATTGCGTATTAAATCTCATAAAACAGCACTATATTCAAAAAGTTTCCTGGGTATGGCTCCTAAAATTTTTAATAAACTCCCAAAAAACATCAAAGAGACATAACATAGACGAATTTAAGAAATTGCTTTCGGGTTTTTTAATAGAAAAAGCATACTCTATTAACGAATATTTTGATGACAAAATGAATAGTTTTTAGCACCTACAATAATTAATGTCCGATTTATTTATTATAACGGGTGATCCAAGTAGAGATACTTTTTTCAATAGCCTTTTTTTGACAGATCACGTGTGAGTCGTGTCATGCTGTCATGTTATTTTTGTTTAGTATTGTTCGGCATTTCATAATGGTAAGACTTACGCCTGAACAACGTTTACAAATCGTTCAACTTTATTACGAAAATTCACGTTCTGTGAGGAATGTGTTTCGTGCACTTCGCTCAACATATGGTCAACATAATCGGCTTACTGAGCGCACTATTCGCAACACCATCACCCATTTTGAGACCCAGCATTCATTATTGGATAATATTCTACCGAATAGACCTTGTCTAGCACGCAGTGAAGAAAATATAGCGGCCGTAGCTGAGAGTGTACATGAAGACCGTGGAGAGTCGATTCGGCGCCGTGCGCAGCAACTCGGACTGACGTATGGAACGACTTGGCGCATTTTACGTCGAGATCTTAAATTTAAAGCGTACAGAATACAGCTTATGCAACAACTGAAGTCGCTCGACCTTCCCAAGCGACTTCGCTTCGCTCTATGGGCTCTTGAAAAGTTCCAAGAAGATCCGACGTTTTCGAGGCAAATTTTGTTTAGCGATGAGGCCCATTTCTGGCTCAATAGGTATGTAAACAAACAAAATTGCCGCATTTGGGGCGGAGAGCAACCTGAAGAAATTCAAGAACTGCCACTTCATCCAGAAAAAACAACGGTTTGGTGTGGTTTGTGGGCCGGTGGAATCATCGGTCCATATTTCTTTAAAAATGATGCCGGTGCGAACGTAACCATCAATGGCGACCGTTATGGTGCCATGATAACCGACTATTTGATGCCTGAATTTGAAGCTCGTGATCTCCGCGCCATTTGGTTTCAGCAAGACGGCGCCACTTCCCACACATCGCATCAATAAATGGATTTATTGAGAGAACATTTCGGTGAGCACATAATTTCACGTTTTGGGCCGGTCGATTGGCCACCAAGATCGTGTGATATCACACCGTTAGACTTTTTCCTGTGGGGATAAGTAAAGTCTAGTTTATGCGGACAAACCCGCTTCGATTCAGGCCTTGGAGGAAAACATCAAGCGTGTCATTCGCCAGTTACCAGTCGAAATGCTCGAACGAGTCATCGAAAATTAGACTCAACGGATGGACCATCTGCGACGTAGCAACGGCCAACATTTGATAGACATAATCTTCAAAAAATAAATGCCAAAGAATGTTCTTTCAAATGATAATAAACATTCTCCATTAAATTTGAATTTTCTGTGTTTTTTTCTTTAAAAAAGTAGGGAACCTCGAAATGGATCACGCCTTATTTTTATCATTATGTTATTAAGAATTAGGTAATAGATAATAAAAACAATAAATTATGCAATTTTTCTTAAACATACTAATAAGTGGCGAAGCTTGCGAAGTCACTTATTAATTTCACGATGTCTGTCCGTCTGTCCCACGATTATCTCGAGAACGGTTTCGAAATTTCAAATTCTGTTTTCAGCAATCGATTACTGATCACCCAGGCATCTGAACCTCCTATTTTGAAACTGATTGCTCAACGGCAACCGTTAGAAACCGCTACAAAGCTGATTGCTTCGCCACTTTGCTATGCTGTTAGCTTGCTAGATTTATTATTATTGAAATTGTAATGTTCATGTTAACCAAATATTTGTATGCCTTCTAAGGCGTAACATAGTGATACTTACCATACATTTTCCACCAAGTTTATAACTTTTTTACCTATGTTTTACAAATAAATTATTTTGAATTTGAATATAAGTCCCATATGCTCGGTACAGGCTTCCTCTCACTTCTTTTAGAGGAAACCTCTTGAGAGGGTTTTATGGCAAGAAAACTTCCGCCGCCCTGCCCAATGAGTGTTGGAGGACTTCACATGTCTTCGAAATATATATATATATTTTTTAAATTTCTCAGACATGCCGGTTTCATCACGTTTCCTTCACCACCGAGCATGTGGTAAATCAGCACTTAAAATTGCAAACAATATCTTTTGTTTTTTATATAATTGTGAAAAAGACTAAATATTTCTCATTATGTAAAATTATATATACGAGTACATATAAGATGTATAGGTAATTAATATTAAACATAAACAATTGTATATTTAATTTTCAGATTATCAGAGATAGGCCAGGATGTGGGCACACGATTATTAGATCTGTACTTTGTCAGGGAGAGAAATAGTAAAAGGGAAATCAAGCTGCTGAATATGCTGCTTTTTGTTAAGTCCACACTTTGGAAGGTGAAATAATTGGCACATTATGTTAATTATTCTTATTACTATTTTATAGAATTAGACTTAACGGAAAAATACAAGTAAGATTAATTTTCTGATGAAAAAAGCTAGTAATTGGGGAATAATAAATGTTTTCTTGCTCCTGTAATTTTTTGAAAAATTGAGGTTCATCCCTTTGCGGCGTCAACGATGAATTGAGCACAGTCTACCTGATGGTAATTGGATGCTGCATCCTATAAATATCTACATCAATACTTGATAAGGAATCAAAACGCAGATGCATTGTCATCTCCAATGCTAAGATTTTTTTTTAGGATAGGGTGACAAACGAGCACACAGTCCACCTGATGGTAAGTGGTTGCTGTGGCCCATAGACATCTACATTTATCCTTGTTTGGGAATCAAAATGCAGATGCGTTGTCACCCGTGAGGACTAAGATAGAATGCCTCTCTTCCAGTAAAAAGGGTCTCCGGTTCTCTACACTGAAGAGGATTCCTCATTAAGAGGGTTTCCCATGTTAAATCAGATAAGAATATCAATTAGATTTCTCCAGTTAGCTCTCTAGGATATTTACTGACTTTTCAAGAAACCTAAAAATGTCCTACTTCTTAATGATGGTTGTAATGCATTTGCTAAAGATGTGTACCTTTTTGAGATGCTTTGAAAGAAAACTTTTCCTAGTTAATTATAATCAGTTATATTATGAAAATCTCAAACACTGAATGTAAATTTTGAGGCTGATAGTGAAAAACATCCTCACCTGTGCAAGGGTTGCCAACCTGCCTGCCCAACATGGTGTATATAAGAAAGGCATGCTAGCAGACTAACTCTTGGTCTGAGTCTAATAGTGGACTTAATAACCGGCGAAGTGCAAGTTGGACTTGCACATGAAGGATTCTGTACCATCGTAATACACGTTTCTAGTAGGGGAGCCCCTTTTAATTTTTATAATTTGTTGTTAGAGCGGCAACAGAAATACACATTCTGTCAAAATTTTAAGTCTACTGGAGGCTTAGTAATAGGGTCATGTTGGATTTGGATACCCTTTGGGTACGGAACCCTGTAAATGATCATCATTATATTAGTAGTTTAAGTGACATTAAACTATTATTGCTTTACAGGTACTGTTTGGTAAAGAAGCTGATAAACTGGAGCATGCTAATGATGATGAAAGGACCTACTACATTATTGAGAAAGATGCTTTAGTAAGTTACTGTTGCAGTTTTGTTTTGGTCTTAGTAATATTTATGCTGGTTTTTTAATAGGATTAGGGTGACAAACGAGCACATACTCGACCTGATGGTAAGTAGTTGCTGTGGCCCATAGATATCTACATCTATCCTCTATAACAAATCAAAATGCAGGTGCATTGTCACCCATGAGGACTAAGGTGAAATGCCTTGTTTCCAGTAAAATGGGTATACGGCTCTCTACACTCACCCTTGTGGTCCTTCCCCGGTCGAGCCAACCAATTCGTGCTACTAATATAGCTGCACCACGGCTCTACCACGTAAAAACTGGTTGACTTATACCATGAGGGTGTAAAGTGTAATTGGTGTACATATTTTTTACATAGGCTTCAGTGTAGATATTTTTCAAATTTAATTTTTAATTAAAACAAAGGGAATAAAAAATGAAATTCAAATGGTGCACCCTATTTTAGTCGTGGCATGTATCAATAAATTTGTTTGAACCAGTCATTAGATAAATACTGATTCATCCCAGATTTTTAATATTTTCAAATAGGCCTGTCTTAGTTGTATGTCTAGTTTATCACAACACTACATGATGATAATGCATACTAAGAAACCTATTTATTGTAGTGCATACCAAAACTGATTTCACTAATCTTTTAGTCTGCTGTGGGCTAGCGTGGTATAGTTTGTAAGTGCGCTGTGAACTCGAAAAAAGTACCTTTTAATCAATTCAGAAAGAAAAAAAACAGGAGCAGAGCACCAAAACTTGCATTGATTACTGATAACTTAGGGTCCTCTGCATATCAGAGTCCACCGTTAACTTGTGTTGAAAGTGTTGAACTTATACTGAACAATTGTATTCTTGAGGTCTTAGATGTTTCAAAAAAACATCTTTTACAGGTAAACAAATTCATAAGTGTGCCCAAAGACAAGGGCTCTCTCAACTGCGCCACATTTAATGCTGGCATTATAGAAGCTGTCCTCACTAAAAGTGGTTTTGTAAGTGTGTTGCATATTAATTTTTATAATGATGATTGCTTTCAGATGCAGAAGATATATAAATGATAGCTATTCATCATTATTATCGTTACAGCCTTTCAGAAGTCCACTGCTGAACATAGGTCTCCCCCAAAAATTGCCACAAAGCATGGTGCTGAGCCACATGCATCCATCAACTTCTTGCATGTCTTACCAGATCATCATTTCATCTAGTGGGGAGCCACCCCACACTACGCTTACTACGGTATGAGGCTGCCACTCCAAAACCTTGCTTCCCCATCTGTTGTCGGTTTTTCGAGCTATATGGTCAGCCCATTGCCTCTTCAGCTTAATAATCCGTTGAAATGATTGCTGTTCAATGAGCTTTAATTGATATTATAAGTTTGGAAATTTAATTGAAATTTGTTAAATTTCTTATTTGTTTCTTTCAGCCGGCAAAAGTTACAGCTCACTGGCATAAAGGAACTACATATATGGTTAAATTTGACGACTCCGTCATAGCTAGAGATAAATCCTTGGATGACCGTTAACAAAGTTAGTTTTAAGTGACACTAAGTGTAATTGGATTTTGTTAATTTGTATGCTATTAAAATGTGCATGATATTATATTGTTTCTTTTTAAATTCCTGTAAACGAATAGCACTTACTTGGATACTGTAAAAAAAATGGTAAATGTTTGTTTTAATTTCACTATATTCAGCCTTATAAAACCTATTAGGCTTAAAACAGGCCTTTCAGGAATGCACAGTATAGCTTGTATTTCTGGAATGGAAATATTCACCATGCCAGGCAGGTATTACTACCACACTACATCTCTCTAAAATTGGTTTAGAAACTAATTTCAGCATTTTTGGAGATAAGATTAACATTTGAAGTCTACAATTTACACAAATTAAACTATAGGTACATCTAACAGATGGCAATATACTTAACTGTTGATTTGGTCGGACATAATTTATTGCAAACACAATCCAGTCACACACAGGAGTGGTTTTGGTACTGCAATTATCAAACTTCCATCCAAATCCACCTGTCCTGTGGAGAGGCTACTCTAGCAATGAATATAGAATTTTGTATTGTGATTTACAAGATCTATAAACCATGGTTTTGCTGCTCTTCAAAAACAGTCATTCAAATGTTTTTACTTTGGCGTTCTATCTTTAACATGATTTTATAAGTGATGATGACCATTGTAGTGATGAGGAAGCTGTCATACAAAACGCGATAACCGTTTTCCCCCTGTAAACATAGTCTAATTTTCATAATTTTTGGATAAGGTGCGTGGGGGTAAGATGACGGGCAAAACCGTAAGATTCAAATTTCCGGAAAATTATGCTATTTTTATATGCTAGCAATATGATACACGACCCCATTGCATTCTGCTCCGACCCCAAGTTCCCGCCATTCTCTCCGGGAAGTAGGACCCGTGCTGCGCGGCAATTTATAAAACATGATAATTTTTGTTATTTCTGTCCATCCGGTCTTTCCCTATCACTTTCATTTGTGATTTTTAGCGAGAATAAAGTTTCTTTTCTTATTGTTTTGTCTGAATACTAAGTTTTATGAAGTTATAGCCAGATAAAACTGAACCAAACAGGGCTAAGATCGCTGCAGGCCGAGATCCGATGTTTCCCCACGCGGGTGAAGATCGGATGAATTTTATCATATCTTTACCAGTTATAAATATGGCAGTGATTGTTAAACTTGCATTTTGTCGTGTATAAATTTCGAAGATTGCTCGAGTGGCTATGGGACTTAGTACTGCTATCAAATCTATTGTGCTCGCGTTTCGCAACAATATGGTAGTGAATGACCTCTATAATTAGAATTTTCGAAACTGTTAATATGCTGCTAACTTACGTTTTACTGAAATATTTAGCTTTATAAAGTGTTACCAGCATAGCTATTCATTAACTCAATGGCTTACAATAACGGATAATTGCAAAACTTATTTAGAACTAATCTTTGGAACTTAGTTTTTAGATATATGTACCTATATATTTTGTGAGATGCCGATACATTTACTCTGGTTTATGCTGCAGCCGCGGAACTGAGTCCATACTCAGTGCCGCGGCCGCATTACTTACAGTAACATTTTATCCCCAGATGCTTCGAAAATACACTAGAACTTCAACGCGGGCAACTTCGTACAAACAAGAAGCCCTGGAAATTGCTATTCAAAGAATAAAAAACTCATTAGATAACGTTTATCTCATCTCATTAGATAAAGTTTAGAACTAATTCAGTTTTACGGGAAACTTTCACCCCACGTTCCTTTGCCTGGTCTAGTCCACTTTGCTTCACTTTTTCAGACTTCATGCGCATATTCTGATTCTAATCAACTATACAAATACAAATATGCTCACGCCTGCTCATTGACAGACACACACACAAATCTGCACATGAAATTATTTATCAATTAACCAACTACAACCTGCTTAGTCATAATATGCCGCTTTACTAAAATGCTCCTTCCTCTACTCCTGTATTGTTCAAGGGTATTTCGCCAGTCCTTTGCTTACATTTTATTTAAAAAATCTAGATGTTTTTAAATAAAATTTTCTTACCCAGTAAAAAAATCAAATGCATCCGATCTTTCCCTTATATTCCATCTTATGGCATAACAAAGTTTGAGAAGCAGAAAATTAATTTCTTTATATCAGGGATAAGATCGGATGCCAAGAAACAACAAAAAGGAAATCTTTTGGAACATTTGTTTCTAGTAATTATATGATCTATCTTACCCCTTGACGTCAAATTCTTCATCATTCATATGAAAAAGTATGTCTTGTCTTCGCACACGTTTAAAGCAGAAACTGTTGAGTTTACAATAGCGAAAGATTCTCATAGCTAAACTACATTTAACCATTAACGATTTGCGCCGCGTTCCAGAAATCCGTATACGGATGTCGAGAAAATAAAGTTTTTGCCAGACTCTTTTAGCTAGTCGAAAATCTGTCCGGTAATACCCCAACGTACCTTATGCCATCACATTGCTTGCAACTGTACAAAGCGCAAGTTCGGCCTCACATGGAACACTGTTGTCATCTCTGGGCTGGGGCACCCCAGTGCCAGCTCCTTCCACTTGACCGCATCCAGCGCATAGCGGTTCGAATTGTCGACGACCCATTCTTTCTGATCGGCTCGATTCACTGGCGCTGCGTAGGGATATTGCATCCCTTTGCATTTTGTATCGCATCTACTACGGGAAGTGCTTTGAAGAATTGTTCGAATTAATTACAGCTGCCAAATTTCACATACGCACATCGCGTAAAAATTCACAATACCATCCTAACCATCCAGTTGCTTAGCAGTCCATCACTGTGTTTTACTAGTTTTTTTCCTTGTACAACTTCTCTGTGGAATTGTTTACCACCGGCGTACCATTTTTGACCTGACCAATACGACTTAGGGGCCTTCAAGAAAACAGCTTACTCCTTTCTAAAAGGCCGGCAACGCATCTGCAATTCTTCTGGTATTGTGGTGATTCGTGGGGAGGTAGTCTCTTACCATCAGGTGAGCCCCATGCTTGTTTTGCCGCCTCTATAAAAAAAATTGTGATTTAATGAAAAACTAGGTCAGTACATTACTATTTCAGATATATTAAGTTTAATTTTTTTTTATAGAATAAGGGTGACAAATGAGCATACAGTTCACCTGATGGTAAGTGTTTGCTGTGGCCCATAGACATCTACATTTATCTTTGTTTGCGAGTTGAAATGCAGAAGTGTTGTCAACCGTGGGGACTAAGATAGAATGCCTCTCTTCCGGTAAAATAGGTCTCCGGTTCTCTACACTCACCATACAAAACACAGCAGCATTAAGCTGCTATTTTATGCTGGTATTCTGTGAGCGTGTGGTCCTTTCACTGTCGAGCCGACCCATTCATGCTACAACTATACTATTAATATAGCTGCAGCATGGCTCTATCACATAACAATTATTAGCATTATTAATTAATAAGAAAAACGTACAGACCTAGATGTACTTAATCTAAAGAGAACAAAATTGTCTCATTTCGTAAAGGTTAGGCAATTGCTTCCAAGACTATCGCACGATACGGCGTCACAGAACGAGCGGTAAGAAACAGACAGCATTTGGAAAATACCTACTAGAGCCGCGTATCGGGTCTTTATTAGATATAGTCTAATGGGTATAAGTGCAAAATTTACCACATGCTCAGGTGTGAAGAAAACCATTGTGAGAAAATCTGCAAGTCTGAGAAATTAAAAAAAAAATCAAAGAATACAAAGCCAGCCAACACGCATTAAGTCAATGCTGTGCACACTTTCTTGGCCTGAATGAGGCCTCGGAATGAGTTATTTAGCCTGTAACTTTACTAACATACGGATTATAATAATAATATGAATATATGCATAATAAAACATGTTAATGGTGTATATTTATATATAGTTTATTTAAACTTAAGCCACCAAAGCAGATGCAGTGCTTGACTCATATTTCCAGTTGGGAGGGAGTACACTCTTTGTTTTATAGTAACGGGCCAGCCTGTGAATTCTGGATTCAACAAGAATGAGTCTGAATTTGCTGTCCTTGTCCTTCCTGTTCCTTTCTAAGTGCTTCCTCATTGCCACGGCCTTTTTGATCAAGTAGTACAGGTCCTCAGGTAGATCTGGAGCAAGGCCCATAGCCTTCATGATACGGAGAATCTTTTTGCCAGTGACAAATCTGACTTGAGCAACTCCATGTGAATCCCTGAGCATGACACCTGAAATTAAAATAATAACAATTTTTTATTTGTAAAATCACTAAAGAAAGCAGTGGTAACTTTGTGTATCAAATGTGGTTTACTTGCATACTGTACACAGCACAGTTGATCGCCACTGGCACCAATGAAATTGTTAATTGCAATATTAAGTGACAGTTACATACAAACAAACTCACAGTCCACCTGCTGGTAAGTGGATGCTTTGGCCCATAGAAATCTACATTTATACTCAATTAAAAATCAAAATGCAGATGTGTTGTCACACCTAGATGGAATGCCTCGTTTATTTTATAAAAGGGTCTCGGGTGTTCTACACTCACCATACAAAACAGAGTAGCATTAAGCTACAAAACATTGTGAGGAAACCTATATGTCTAAGAAATAAAAAAAGTATTTTAAAGACAATGTATGTAAAAGTAATAATGTCCTTGGGACTAACATTGGGGCAGTGTGGTGGAGGCTAGAATGCTACCTAGAAGTGGGACATATAAAGACTATATAACTTAAGTTAACTTCTTTGTAATAATAAATCTTATAAAACACATAACACAACATTATGCAGTTAGATTTTGCCACATTTTTCTTTAAGTATGGAAACAATTCAATACAAATATATAAATATATGCAGATTGAATATTATCTTAGTCCACAGAGGTGACAATCCACATGTTTACCATCAGGTGGAGTGTAAGTTTATCACTTTTAAAATAAAACATATTGTATTAGTGGTGTCAACACAGTGAAAACTAAAAAATTTGCTAAACAGGGTCAAAATATACTATCCATTACAAAGGTAAGCAC